CGTGTCGGAATGTCGCACCAGACAATTAAATCCCCAGCATAAATCCATAATAAATTTACTCGAGATATATCCGACTTCGAATTCATCATCAGGGGCGGATTCAGCCTGGGAGAAAGAGGGAAAATTAATGTACGAACTGAGTCTCACGGAAGGGTCCTGGTAGAGGTGAAAGAGAGGCGAAATCCCCTTTAAACCTCTAGCACCTTCATTATATGAGTTTGTATTTGATTTATATTTACTATTTAGCATGGTAATTATCAGATAAGCTTCACGCCCCCTCTAAATTATGCGCCATTGGCCAGAACATTACATCGGGGCTCACTGGGGGACTGAACTCTCTGTGGCACTGAAACTCTGTGGCACGGTCCCACAATGAGCAATATTTTCTAAAAACATTGTAGGGCTAACTAATGTAGTTTCTCAGAGGCTGACACACTTGTGCTGTTATAGCACACTGTTGCATTAGGCCGTTATCTAAATAAATTCCTCTAAATGAAGCATTCATTATATGAAAAATGGCTAAATTGTTCCAGTCTTAAACACAGGCCCGTAGGAAGCAGTTTACTATTTAACCCGAGGTCCTGGGATTGGAAGGCAAGCATCTTAACCTCTAGTAGGCCTATCATCAGTTGTATAAATCAATAAGAATGTACGTCATGTTTGTGCGAATTTAAGGAAGTTTCTGAATCCATAAATTATTATTTGAAGTATAGGCCTAACTGTATTTGAAAATTCCAACGAAGAATACGAACTCTTTTTTCATTTGCTCTGTAGTCAATTTCAAAGAATACAAATGTTCTTGATTTCAACCATTTTACGTGGGTTTGTGTGTGTGTGGTTATGAACAATGGACAATGCAATATTATACACACAATTTCATAGGGAACACAATAAAATAGAAGGTTTAAAAAGAAGAAAATTTTTTGTAAAATTATTTTCTTCATTAATCTTGATTTCACAATTTGTATAATCCTTCTTTAAAATGTAAAATGTAAATATGCCTAGCATTCGCCACTTGTCCGGTGTCTCCAAGTCGTGTTTAATTAGTATGGTTCATTCAGTTGTTAATGTAAAATAATAACTCTATTGAATATTATCTCCACAAATAGAACTTGTGTTTTGTAAAACAAAATTACAATTAGGATCGGATGCGAGCATTTTTAGCAATTGTATTCAGATCTTATTCATCAAGTGTTCTAAATGACAACATTAAATGCATAATAGTTTGTTAATTGTATTGCATAAAGGACAGAAGAGCTGCATACAGTCAGTTATTACAGTAGGCCTACATTAAGCTTTAAAACTACTCTTATATAAATCAGTAACTAATGTTATACAGTAGTATATCCACGGTATGAGCACAATTGTACATCTCATCGAGCTCATGATGTCATTAACATTTTTTCATCTTTGTGCTACAAGCGTGTTTCAACACGGTATTATTATAATATGTTGGTTTTTTTTTAAATTATTATTGACGTAACCAATCTTTTTTTTTTTTTTTTAATGTTGTTGTTCGGAAAATGAGTTAAACATACAATGAATTGTGAAATTGATAGGTCCGAATACCAAATTATTATTTTTTCATTAATCTTGATTAATTTCTTTGTCCTATTTTTTAATTCAATAGATTAGCCTAGTTTTTTTTTAAATTGTATAGAGCTTCCAATAATCCTACTGTATTGTTAGTTTATTTTCATCAATTATATATTCATCAGACCTTATTATTTAAAGTGTTCTACATAACGACATGCAATGTATTACCTTCATCATTTTCTCTGATTATATTTGTACGTTTTTGGCGTTAATTTTAAAGAGTGGTTTATTTCATTTCATTTTTCTCTTCCAAACATGGTACAAAGCAAAAGGATAAACACAATAAACAAGGTGGGAGAGGCGTACGACAGCGATAGAGAGGATCCAGGAAGTGAACTAAATCACTATCTAAGTTGGTCTCCCAAAACACTGTGTCCAAAAATACAATTCACAAAAAAAAAGACAATAAAATGTTAACATTAATATACATTTTCTATAAAGTAACAGTAAAACAACATTTATCGTATAAAATATGGAATTTAAATACACTATGAAAATTTACCTAAAACGGTATAAATACGGATGTGGAAGTCTCACCTTACCAACCAGTGTTGGCAAAAGTAGAGAGGAGGAGATTATATTAAATTAAATCGGAGGAGTTCTTACTTCAAAACTTTTTTATAGTCTCATTTTCTGTTTAGTAATAAAGATCAAGAAATGACTAGCCTAATTAACGTTGCTTAGATGTTTTCTGTTTATATGACTTAACCATTGTTTTATTGTCCGTGGTATGAGCAAAGTGTGCATCTCACAATATTGTTGTACCGTTCTAGTGAATGGTGGGGGGAGGGGGTGAGGGTTGGAAACCTCAGCATCTGGATCTAAATTCCTGAAAGACCGACTCTATTGGGTTGCTGAAATATCTCTGGCCTGAATAATAACAAACTTCTTTTTTCAAACTTTTTTTTTTCTAAATCAGGCCCTAATGAAATTTACATCATTTCTAAATTAATTATTCTACGTTATGCTACGTTTCATGAAATTATGCGTAGCATCAAAGCTATATGTTACCGGGGTCCAAATTATGCCGGGAAAAAAAAGCATAATTATTCTACGAATGGCCACTATGTGAATCCCGCCATTCATTTCACACATGGAAAGGATTGAGCTCATGAATATTAATGAGGGGTGGAGTTGAATAGCTTGGTGGTTAAGATGCTTGCCTTCCAATCCCTAAGGCCTTAGGTTCAATTCCTGTCACGATAACAGTATTTTGTTTAACCGGACCTAAACCAAATTTTTCCCGCCAAATCTTTCCCTCTACACTGGAAAATATGCCATTGTTTTTGGCTTTCCTTCCCCCAGCTAGAACAATGCCACTGTCTTGGCTTTCTAGCCACGCCCCGCCCTTCTATTCAGACCGTGAATTTTAGCTTTTGTATAGCTTTTCACTGGTAGGCTCAGCCTTTGTTTAGTTTTCAACCAATCAGCAGCAAGTCTCATCACTCAAACATATAAGTATTTCCCTGTTTGAGATGTCTGCAGATATTATTCTCCTGAAGACGGTTGAAGCAAGTAACCGAAACGTCGAGATATTCTCAACCAACAACAACAGTTCTTTTCAGAACTATCTACCGCAAGCATTAATTATATAACAGTATTTTGTCTCACGACAAAATAATCAACTCCACTCCCCAAGTTTCGTGCATAGGTCTATGTACCTATGTGTAGAGAATATTGTGTGTATAGGCATATTGTCTTGTTTTGTAGAATGATTGCCACTTTGAAGAGCTGATTAAGTTCACAGTTTGGGATATTATTGACCCTTGTACCCAAAGCTGAATAATTTAAAAAAATTAATAAATATATATAAAAAAATAAATTAATAAAAATAAAGGTCTTTGAAACTGACTACTTAAAAAAATTAATTTCTTTTTTTACCTGAACTGAATGTTAAATCAATGTTTATTTTTTTTTACCTGAACTGAAAGTTAAATCAATGATGTTTAAATAATAAAACCTTTTTTTTAGTCTGTCGTTTTTCATAATAATTTACATTTTTGAAATAATTAATCTATTTCAAAGATGGTTTGAATAATAATGTACATACTAATGGTTAAAGTAATGTCCAAAGTTAAATTTTTGTTCATATAATAGCAGGCCTACTACAGAAATTTAAAAAAAAAGAAAAAACTATGGAATGGAAACCTCTTTAACCAGCAACTCACTCACTGGCAGTGTGTTTGTGACCACGGTGTTAAAAGGGCTATTTAAAGCTTAGGCCAGGACCGATAATTCTTTGGGTGATTACTTCTCTGCCAAAAGTAAACCTAGGCCCTATGTTTTCAAGATGGTAGTTTTAAAAGATTATTTTTATTTATTCCCTTAAGAAGCAATGAAAGACAGATTGAGATTCTATTACATTTCACTGTTGACTTTAATAGTTCGCTGAAACTCATGAATTTTTATTCCCCATTCTGTTTTGATGTGTTGAGAGCCCGTAAGAGTTCAAGACTGCTTATCAATGTTATTCCTCTCCCTTCTTTTGTACTTTTTTTTAACGGGATGAATTAAGTCGCGCTACTGTAAACAGAAATTATTATTTATTTACTTCTTTATTACGGAGTACCAAATAGGGCCTATTATACCAAATATATTTAAATACATTTAAATATAAATAAAATAATGTAATGTATTATTTTTTTAAATTATAATAATTGAACACAATATTTATTAATGCCATTTAGGTCTAAATTCACGTACAATCAGCTTTTCGTCGTGTGTCGTTTATATTTCAATTTTAAATGTTTTAGGCGTTACTTTTTCTATTATTTGTATTTTAAAATATCGTCTTCACTTTGCATTATTTCTACTATTTATTTAACCATGTTTATGTTGTTACAATACTGCACCCATATAAATCACCTCTGTACTGCGAAATAGGTTTTAATAAAATTAAATTGAACTGACCAAAAAAAAAATCAAAAAAAAAAATCAATCAATCAATCAATGTTCATCTGTTACATTGTCTTACAAATAAAAAATCAAATGTTCTCCAGGAATTTCAATAGACAATACATGGGTATACAGACTTTTTTTTCAATCGAATAAATTCAATTCAATCAATCAGTTAATCAATCAATTTTACCGTAAAACCTCGAAAATAGGTTACCTACATTTTACTGAATATAATACGCCAGCAATCCAAGCATGTTTTAAGTATGAATTTTGAATGATTGAATTTTGAATAACTAAGAAAATAAATAAATAAATAAATATTTTAAATGAATAAAAACATTAATTGTTTGATTGATAAATAGATGGATAAATGAATTAAATAATTATTGAACTAATGGACGAACGAACTAATGAATTGAAATTAAAAAAAAATTATGGGTACCAGTGCAATGTTGTCTAGAGTTTAGAAAATTTCGCCAATAGAGGGCCGTTATTAACTTTTCAGGCTTTTTTTACTTCCGTGTTTTACACATAATTTTGTTTTGATAAATCATGAGATTCAGCGAAGAAGAACTGATAGAACTTGCAAAACTCCCTCCAGATTTGGATGGTGTTTTGCAGTTCAAAACTCAAGCTAGTAGAATAAGAGATCAAATACAAGGTTTGTCTAACCTGCAATTCTTTTTTTCAAATAATAAACGTCTGACATGATTAATGCTTTCTAGGCTTAGGACTAGCCTAGGCCTATTTAATAATGACCTAACTTTGGCAGGGCGCTAGACTAGAGCGGACTAGGCTTAACCGACCTACGGCTAGGCCTAGCTTAGGCTCTTCTACTATTCTATGTCTGGACGGACACCGTGGTACTCAAATACGTGGCACCCTTGCGCCAGCAGGCAGTGACTATTGTTACACCAATTTTAGCGAATTCCTATTTCTGTTTGGATGGATGTTTTATTATTGCTCTTTATAAGATTGGGCCTATATAATAATATACAATGAACAATGGTGTAACAATAGCAGCCATTTCATAATGAGTAGGGGTTAGGCCTAATCTTACTTTGGTTGGCTCCATGCCAACAATTGCCCACGGGTTGAAGGTCAGTGACCAATTGTTGTAAGATTTGTTAAAACAAATTTTTCGATGCCCACTCCCACATTGTTGAACAAATTTTATTTAAAAATGTTGATCCCAGTTTGTGGAGCAGGGGAAGCTCCCCTTTCAGATAAATGTTGCCTCAGTATTGCGACGGTATGATTGCCAGCCGGGATACAGTATGACCGGTTGAGCCGCTGACAAGTTGAGCCGCTGGTAATTTCTATGGAACGCCAAGCGCGTCCCTCAGTGAATGTAGTCGGCTTGCCGATGTCATCAGTGAATGAACCCCCCGGATACCAGCTACATATTCATCCCACAGTCTTGTCAGTGTACTACATTTTATAAAAATAAATGAAGTTGTATAATTGCAAAATCGTATTAAAATGTGTTTATTTACGTTTGGTTTGCGGCGTATTTCAATTAACTTATTCGTTATTTGTAGTACTATTTTGTTAAATTATTTAATTAAATTATTTATTATATATAAGTTTAACAAATAGTACAAAAATAAAAAGTATATAAATTACAAAACCATAGTAAATACTGTATAATAACATAGGCCTAACACATTTAAATTTATTATTCATGCAAAATCGTATTAAAAATGTAATAACTTGATTATTTTTTACGTTTGGTTTGCGGCATATTTCAATTAACTTATTCGTTATTTGTACTATTTTGTTAAATTATTTAATTAAATTATATTTATATTATATATCATTATATATAATAAAAATGATAAGAATGTATGGAGTTTTTTTTTTACTATCTGGCAAGCTGACTGAGCAAATACTCACAAAATTTAAATTAAAACGATAGAAAGAACAAGTAAATAAATTGAAATACGTCCCAAAAATATTTAATAAATAATAAACAATAAATTTAAATGTGTTAGGCCTATGTTATTATACAGTATTTACTACAGTATAGTTTTGTAATTTATATATTTTTATTTTTGTACTATTTGTTAAACTTATATATAATAAATGATAAGAATGTATGGAGTTTTTTTTTTACTATTCTGGCAAGCTGACTGAGCAAATACTCACAAAATTTAAATTAAAATGATAGAAAGAACAAGTAAATAAATTGAAATACGTCCCAAAAATATTTAATAAATCAGTGCAAAAACCGAGTATTAAATAAATTGAAATAATTGAGTAAATAAACTGAAATATATCCCAAACAACAGTACAACTATAACAACTCTCTGCAAAACCGAAGAAGTTAATTGAAACGCCGTAATTAAGGCACTACATTCACTGAGAGACGCGCTTGGCGTTCCATAGAAATGACCGGCGGCTCAACTTGTTGGCGGCTCAACCGGTCATAATCCTGCCAGCCTATAACCTTTCACACAGTGCATTTGTTACCTCAATATTGCTGCAGGGAGGGAAGTTTACTAATGGAGGGTCGACACCTCAGCTCCACCATAGTTGGAGGTGAGGTAAGAAAATTTATGATTTTGGCACCGCTAGACTGCTGGAAATGGCCCTCTTACACTTCAAAAAAAAATTTCATTTTTTTTCTACCCCATTTTTTCTTCATGATTTTTGAAATATTCATGGGCCCAGACAGGCTACAGTACAAGATACAGACCCTCACACCATTCACTGTGGTGAAGGTCAGGGTGAAAGATAAAAATTTAAAAAGTGGGCTGCTAGTGTCGGATTATTATGTGAGTGTCATCTCACACCTATTCATTCATATATTTCTCTGTATATTAATAGTAATGCCGCAAATAGCGTACAGTTTAATATCTGTCTTAAAAAAACCTAAGACTGTCTGAGTTAGGGGGATTTTGCTCCTCTGCACCCTACCCCTGTGAACCCCTTGTTCGATAGAAAGGGTGAACTCTGGTTCCGTGCCTGTATACTACGCATCTACAGTATATTTACAGTAATTGTCTTTTCTTGTCTTGAAACTACCCAGCAACCCTAAAATAGGGGTTCACACGGGTATGGTTTGGTGGTGGTGCTGGTAGTTGAAACTCATGCTTCTTCTAGGAAATAGAGATGGATAGCTGTTTTGAACAAATCTTTATTTAGTATACAGTTGATTTCATGGGATAATAAATTCCAATCTCCGATCGGCTGTGGTAAGAATGAAAATTTCTAGCAGTTCCTTTTTGTGAAAATCGATATGTAGTTGCATGATCCGCTGGACTGGTTGTAGAATCAATTGCACTGGAACGGCAAGGTGACCCATTATTGCTTGGTGAAAATTAACTAGCTGATTAATTTTACGGCAAACTTTAAGATCATCATCCTATTTAAACATTTTTTTAATGGCTGTACACGCTGGTGTAAATACAGTACCAGTGACAAAGCGTGTGGCTTTGTTTTGTACTGACTCTGATATATCTTTTTTGAGTGAAGGTCCCATGTTAAGAACTGTATCTTAAGATTGATCTGACCACTGACGAGTGAATTATAGGCCAGATCTTTGATATTAGTTGGGCAAGAATGCAAGTTTCTTCTTATGAAACCAAGGGATTAAATTAGCTTTTGCTTCAATAGATCCAAATTAATGGACCTAAGTCCAGGCTTTAACTTTCAATTTCATTGGTATTTTAACTGAAATAATTTCACCTTTTGTTTACTTGTACTGTACACCCACTCACAAGGTATTTAAAACTTATATGTAAATTTAACCTAATTATGTCTGTTTTTAAAGCCGCTATTTTCAGATAAGGTATCACCACACTTGTGTAAACATGATTTATTCTAAGTTGATTTCATATCCTTTTTATCCTATTAGAGTAAATAGAGATAGAGTTAAAAGCAACGATTAGGCTAACTGTAAAAATTGTCATGCCTAGGACTGTCAGCCTTTTTGAAATTGATTGCTGTTGCAAAAATGAAATTAATGAACCGGCTTAGATGTCTATCTAATGACCATTAAGTAAGATTTGCTTTTGATGCTGCAGTAATCATAAAGCAGATTGTAGAAAATTATGTAAATCCTGGGGATTTTCAAAGTCAAACCAATTCATTACCCTGCGAAATTGAGTGTAACGGATTGATGAGGGCGGTATGCTGTGAATGCTTAAAAATTAAAGGCTCATCCAAAAAACATTAGAAATTAACATTGTGACGCAATACTGTCTCTTCTTACTTAGCAACAGTAGACACAGAGCTCCTAAAGTCTCCTGGATTGCCCTGGAGTCTCCAGGAATTTTGGTACGTCTCCCTGTCTCCCGAAAAATTCCACATTTTCTCCCACAATTTGAATTTCTCTTGGATTTCTCCAGGATTGTACCAGATTTTCAAAATTAAGGTTTATGCCAGCTAAATTTTCCCATTCTTGTGTTCAATGGCAGACATAAAGATTATTGAACATTCTAATTTCTAGGCAGCAATAAGGCCCTAAACCTGCCCAAGCTGCTTTGTTTTTATATTGAAGACATGCCGATAAATATTGTACATGCATTTTTAGCTGGTACGCGCGTTCAAAACATCCGTCTACCCTGCATGAAAAAATTCTCCAGGAGACTTTGACAACTTGGGACCCCTGTGTAGACAGAGTAGCATGGAAATCATTAGGTCACTGGTACTGTACAATGGTCCGTTCCGCTACTAAGCCCCGCCCCTTGGATGTTGTTGTTAAATAATAGCCTAAGTGTAGGGGACGGGCATATTCCTGACCGTGTTCTGATTGGTCATTGTTAAGTTCTGTTCGACACTCCGGAAAGGTCTATTCCATCTGTCTATCCACAAGGCCTGCGTTCATACACAACTCGCCTTCACATTTAACGGTATGAACCCAGCGAGTCGCCTGCGGCCCTACAACCAACCCTCGTTCATGCTTTGTAAATTCAGTGGGTAGTTAGAAGGTCACTTGCTAGTGATGTTTATGACTTGTTGTTTTCATCCTTAGCCTGGTTGTATTGTTTTTTTTAAGTTGTTGCGGCTCTATTAAAGCCAAAGCCCAGCTCTTCCATCTTCGTAATTATTAGCCCGTAGGCTTGTACGTCCTCCTTGTCCATTCAAAACCTTCTTGTATCCTTGGTAGTCCCCCACACACTTATCAGGGAAAGTTGCCGCTTCTGTCCAGGCGTTTTTTTGATTCATTTTTGGGGAAATAAATAGCAAAGTCCCGAGTACAGTTAAGTAAAAATATAATTTTGCGGCGCAGGAGCAATGCACGTGTTGACTCTTTGGAGAATTGAGAGAAAAGGGATAGGAATAATGCTTGGGAGGACCCTTATTGCACTCGCAGCATGAGGTCGGCCTATTTTGGACATCCCTCGTTAGTAGGCCCAGGCCTGTAAAGTCATTAATGTCATCACCGAGGTCACGAGGATTCGCCTCGGGCAACTTTTAACCGGCAAGTTTGGTGGGTTGGCTAACTTGCTTTTTGGCCAGATGTTTTTTCAATTACCCCCGTTCATACTACCTTCGAATTATATTACCGCTATATTCAACGGGTAATAACATAAGCATGAACGGGCCCAAGGACTACTTTTGCCAAAAACTGACCCTAACCAAAATTTATTGTGACAGACTTGTCTGTAGCCTGTACTGGTATTCAGTCTTCACCCACATATGTCCTTCAGTTTG